GGAAGCAGGTTGCCTATTTGTTTTGTTAAAGATAACAATAAGTACAGGTGTGTATAAGTAGATGACAGTGTTCTTGTTGGATGAGGTGGATACTGTACCAATGTCAAAGTGTTATTGCCAAGAGATAATAGAGGGGAAAATTTCTCCGCAATTATTTCCACCTTGTAAGCAGCGGCAGATATTCTAAATAGGCTGAGAGCCACCTTACCATCGTGGTCCTCTATCACTTCCATTGTAAGTGGTTTAGTAGGACTTGGCATGCTTTCCTCCTATGTCTTTGTTTTCATCTGGTGGCAGTAAAGTTATTTATGAAATCCTTGTGGCAAGTCAAGGATACTGTGCACATATGAGGTTGCGCTCCCTCCCCTAACAGAGGCTGGTAGTCAAAGACAGGTAAGATATTCTGGGAGAAAGTCAACCTAAGACAGGGCATAGGTGATGGAAGCTACGTGCCAATGACAGGTAAGGCTTTGCTCTAGCAGAAGACAACCTAAGACAGGCACAGTCCTTCTGTCCTGGATATAGCATAATCTACCTAAGACAGGGCATAGGTGATGGAAGCTATGTACCAATGATGGGTAAGGCTTTGCTCTAGCAGAAGACAACCTAAGACAGGCATAGTCCTTCTGTCCTGGATATAGCATAATCTGGGGTTATTAAAAAATAAAAAAGGAGGAGATGTTGGGAGCTATTAGTATAAACACAGCCATTATGTACATTGAGCTGTGGCAGGCTTGCTTGTTTACTTTATGATCTTTCACCTTGACTCAAGAGTTTGTGTGTTTTGCATACAAGTACCAATTTGTTCTGCCAAGTCAGGAGGAATGTATTATAATTTAGGGAAGATGGTTTAATGGTGGAATTCACAATAAGTATTTGACCGTTCCATGCTCCTTAGATAAAGGTGGGAAAAAAGAGCTGTTGAAGCTAATTGAGCTAAGTAAATTGTGGCTATCTGATGTCCTACTGTATAAGAAGGCTGAGCTAAAATAAACTAGGGCAGCAGTCTCTATTGACAGTCCTCCCAAGTATCTTTCTCTGTCTCTCGTTTTTCTTTCATCCTCACTCCCCCTTTCAGGTGCTGTTCATCTCCGCCAGCTGGTGCCAGCATGTTTGGTATGTAAATAAAGAAATTCTTGTTAAAAGAAAGCTTAAAAAATACTATATTGTGCCAGGCGTGGTGGTGCATGCCTTTAATCCCAGCACTCGGGGGGCAGAGGCAGGTGGATCTCTGTGAGTTCAAGGCCAACCTAGTCTACATAGTGAGTTCCAGGCCTGCTGGAGCTACTGGGGAGACCCTGTCTCAAAAGAGACAAAAAAAACTACATTGTTATGTAATTTCTTCTATATTATGTTTTCATTCACTTTTCCAAACTGAATCTGGTATGATACCAATATAATGAAACAGAACAAGTTATATTCCACAGATAAAGAGCTACTAGAGTTTGACCTAGCCACTTGTCTCCAAATTGGCTAGTTCCTCCAAGGAGCAGGGCCTGTCATGGAGCATGGACTATGGAGGTGTGGCTGTGAGCCATCTTAGGATGGAAGCCAGGAACTGAGGGTAGCACTCCTGGCATGGGGAACGTGCAGCTGTGCACAGCAGCCCAAGGACAGAATGGACTGACTCTTATGGGCCTGGGGCAGGATCACTGGGCCCAGAGGTGTGAACAAATGCTAGTGGTGACTATGGGCATGGCACGGTCTGATATGGTGGGCTCTGAGCCATGATGTGGGGCTAGGCACTGGGCACTTATTCCTTTGTAAGTTAATAAATGCACATAAAGATATGTTATATGGTTTGCTTAATAGTGCAGGAGACCCAGAGGGAATTTGGGTGACACCACTTCACATGAATTTTATCGCTGAAAAGAAAACCAAAATTTAGAAGATGGCAAATTTGTTTAAATACTTCAATATAATAAAACATTTAAATTATACTATTTAAGTATATTACAAAGAAATATATTGAAGTTCAGATAATGACAATTGTATATAATGTTCCTGACAATGTAAATTTTAAAAGAATTTACAAAAGTTATTTTTTTTAAATTTTATGTATATGAGCATTATGCCTGTATGTGTGTAAACATACTTGTGTTATGCATGGTCCACAGAGGACAGAAGAGGGTGTCAGATTCCCTGGAACTGGAGTTACGGACAGTTGTTAGCTGCCATGTGGATGCTGGGATTCAAACCCGGGTCTTCTGCAAGAACAGTCAGTGCTCTTAAATGCTGAGCCATCTCTCCAGCTCCTTAAAGAATTTAAAAAATTTATTTAAAAATTAAAAAAATTTATTTTATTTTATATATATATATTTTAAAGAAAATTGTATTATTAAAAAAGAAGGGAAAGAAGGAAGGCTCCATAAAGTGGCTTAAGCCTTTAACCCCAGGAATGAAGAGGCAGAGGCAGGAGGATTTCTGAGAGAGCAAAGTTAGCCTGATCTACAAGTTCAGACCAGCCAGGATACAGCTAGACCCTTTCTCACAAAACAAAACAACACAACACAACACAATACAAAATAAAACACAAACCTCCAGCAAAAAAGAAAGAAGAAAATGGACACAATGAATGTTTCCTGCTGCTCAAATCCCTTTCTCCACTGGTACAGTCCTATTAGCAGAGTATTCCCTGGTCAGGGAATGGTTCCACCTATGGTTAAGGTGGTTCTTCTCATGTTAATGATTGTACTCAAGATAATCCCCCAGTGGCATGCTCAGGGGTCCATCTTCCAGGTGATTCTGGATTCTGTCAAGTCAACAATTACCATTAAAGATCACATCCAAGGAACTGGGAAAAGTTCTTAACTTTGCAAAGCTTTAGACTAACTCAAAATAAAATGACAACATGACCTCCAGAAGAAAAAGCTAAATTTAAAGCCGTATAACAATGTCATGACAAAGATATAGAGTAAGTGGTTTTCTATGCCTGCATTCAATGTAAACTGAAAAGACTTCTGATAAACCTATTAAAATTGTTTTTTAGAGCTTACACATTACACTCGTACACATTTATGGACAACAATGTGACAGGTCCTTAATGAAAGTTATGCACGATGCTGCTCACTACATAACTACTCAGCACTCCAAACCTTGAGACTCTGACACTCCTCAACAGTAAATGGTTAAATAAATCACTCTAAATTGATGTCAAACAATTGTATGAAGTAAGGAGAATGTACATTCTTTCACTAACTGCAACAATGGAATTAAATCTGTTTAGTATAAATTAAATAAAATAAACCACAGTTACCCTGCTATGTTTATTTAAGGGATAATATATGAATATTTCTGAGGAAAGTAAACTTTAATTATACTTACTCCAAAAGAAAACAACAAAACTATTTTACTGCAACATTTTACTCTTTATACTGGAGGCTCTAGGGACTAGAATGATAGCTTAGAACATTAATTAAATATGTACTATTAAGATGATGAATCCAGGTCATAGAAGAGCAAATTACACGAACATCACAATCTAAGAATGGATGGCTGTGCTGGTTTATGAAGTTGAGAATCATTCGTCTCCTGTTTAACAGAATTTTAAGCAATTAATTGAAGAAGAAAATTAAACCCTTGTGGGGCTGGAGCCATGGCTCATGGTTAAGACTACTGGTTTCTCTTGTAGAGGACCCAGATTAGGTTCCCAGCACCCACATGACAGGTAACAACCTTCTATAACTCCCGACAGGAAGGGATCTGATGCCTTCCTCTGTCCTCCACAGGTTGAGACACACATGGTGCACACAGGCAAAACACTTATATACCTACAGTTAAAAAAGTTTATTGATATGCTTCGGAGAATTTCAGTTTCAGGAAGGGAAGAAAAGGAAAGGAGAGGAGAGGAGAGGAGATAGGATTGTAATACATAATAGTTGGTAGGTCTTGAGATATAACTTTAGATGGGACATGAATACTAGAGAGCCAAATCCACAAGAACCAGAAACTGGTATCTGACTAAGATCAAGGCTTGTTAAGAATCAGAATACCCTGGGTGTGGTAGTGCACACTTTTAGTCCCAGCACTCAGGAGGTGGAGGCAGGTGGATCTCTGTGAGTTCAAGGCCAGCCTGTTCTACATAGTGAATTCCAGGCCAGCTGGGGCTACATGGCAACCCTGTCAACAGCAGGATAGCAAGTAAACATATAAAATGGAAAGTAAAGGTATAGGCCAACCCCCCCAACCAAAACCAAAACAAACAAACAAAAAACAATGTATGCAAAGTAAGAAGAATCTTGGGTGAATTAGGTACAGGGGATTTTGATAGGGGAAGAACAGTGGCATTTTTATAGACTGAGATTGTAGATAAATTAGTGTGTCATAGGGGTTATTTGACTAGCTCCAGAATTTATGATACAGTACACAACCATTTGTATTTTGGGGGCATTATTATATTACTGATTTGAAGATGCAGGATATGTGATGGGGACTCAATTTTCACAAGAATCTGCCCTTATTGACCCAAGGCTACCAGTTAATTGTTATATACAAATCATATTGTTTAAAGATTTATGGAACAGGGGCTAGAGAGATGGCTCAGTGGTTAAGAGCATTGACTGCTCTTGCAGGGGACCAAGGTTTGATTACCAACACCCACGTGGTGGCTATGAACCATCCTTAACTCCAGTTCCAGGGCAATCCGAAGCCCTCTTCTGACCTCCGAGGCATTGCATGACACAGGCGTACTTACATACATGCAGGCAATACACTCAAACACATAAAATAAAAATAATAAACAAAATATTTTTAAAATATTTATGGAACTGAGCATGGTCTCCAATTGTGAAGCTGGAAGTAATTTCCAAAATCTGGAGCATCGAGCAGGGCATAACAGCCCACATTTTTGTTTTGTTTTCTTTTTCTTTCTTTCTTTTTGAGATAGGGTCTCCCTGTAGCACTAGCAGGTCTCAAATTTGATATGGAGACCAGGCTGGCCTCAAACTTACAGAGATCCACTTGCCTCTGCCTCCTGAGTGCTGGGATTAAAGGAGTGGGTTGTGCTCGCTTCGGCAGTAGTTATCCTAAAATTGGAAGGATACAGAGAAAATTAGCATGGTCCTGTGCAAGGATGATATGCAAATTTGTGAAGCGTTTCATATTTTTATATGTTACCTGAGGAAGGTGGAAGGAGAGGAGGGAGGGATATGCAAGGGACCATAGTGTGGGGGAGCAAGGGAAGTCAGGAAAGTACAGATGGTGGGAGTTGGGGGGTATTGGGGGAAGGGTGGGGATAATGGGGACACTGTAACTAGGAAGGGATGGAGGCCAGAGAGGAGAAAAAAATGAGTAGAGATGAATGGATCTTGGGGGGCTAGGAAAGCTAGAGGGAAAAGTGATGCCCTAGAAACCCTGTGAGAAATGCACATAGAGTGTCTGAACATTAATGCATATGTATACCTAGAAGTTACTTGGTAGGGAATGCAGTGCCAGATAGAAGAGAACTCCCTTAGAGCAACAAACATGCTCTACAGCACTCATCAAAGAATCTGGTCAGGCACAGACAACATACATCTGGGAGATGCCCAGTACTAGGTGACACATGTGCAGTCGAAGCTCTATAACCAAGGCTCATGGAACATAGCAGAATAAGGGGTAGAGAGAGGGCCAATGCACCCCTCAACTCTCACCAGTGAGGCTTCTGTGTGCATCAGAGTGTGATGCACACAGAAGGCCACAACTGGCCAAATTTTGGTGAATAAGAGACTATAGAGTATAGGACGGCACTCCTATATGGAACCTCACCCACCCATGGCACAGGGACCATTGCAGAAGAGAAGGGGGAAGGATTGTAAGAGCCAGTGCTGGTTCATGAATAGATGAGGTGGATGCTTCCAGGACACTGGAGGTTTGCTCCTGTGAGCCTGTGGCAGTGGTGGCATCAAACTTGGGACCCTTGTCAGCTCAATTAAACAAGGGCCCAAAGGGGAGGTGAGAAAGAGGTGGTGGGCCAGCAATAGATAGAGACCTATTTGAGACTGATTGCTGCTGGATGAGGGAGAGTATGACTTACATATGACCACTGGATGGGCTTAATAGATTTCGGTGGACACATTTACACTGAAGGACACCTGGGTACAAACACCTGAATGAACAGGACTCAACATGTATGGCAGAGTGCATAGGGTCCAGTGGGGGTATAGGGGAGGCATGGATCAGGGAGGGGATCTGATTTGAGTGGGAAATGTTGTATGAAATTTTAAAAAGTCAAAAAGCAAAAAAGCCCAATAATTAAAAAAAAAAAGGCACAGGTCACCATGCTCGGCTCGTTTGTTTTCTTGATTGGACAAAAGAGATAGACTTTTTGCCTAACTGCATACAAAACAGAGAGCAAATACCATATGAAGAGTTTGGCAATTATATAAAAGCTATGGTCCTGATTCTGGTCCTTCTGTGGGAGTGAAGCCCAGCAGAGTTCAGGGACAATTCTTCGTAAAATATTCCCACCTCAAGTAGATAATTCCTGTAGAAACTAAGGCTTCTAGTTGCACAATGTCCAAATCAATGTGATTAAAAATATTTTATTTATTATTTTTATTTTATGTGTAGGAGTGTATTGCTTACATGTATGTAAGTGCACCAGTGTGGTGCAAAATTTGTGGAGGTCAGAAGAAGGCATTGAATTCCCCTGGAACTGGAGTTAAGGGTACTTGTTGGCCACCACGTGGATGCTGGGAATTGAACCTGGGTCCTCTGCAAAAGCAGTCAGAACTCTTATCTGCTGAGCTCTCCAGCCCCATGATTGTGACTTTTTTAAGGTCTTGATATCATATCATAAAATCCTGTTTAAGAAGTACTGAGGAAAAATATGTCAACTTTGAATTATGATGACTAGACTTGGTGGTCAATTTAGCTGGCTCTGGAATCAACAAGAACACAAACCACTTGGCACTACTGTGAGGCCCTTTCTTCTTGAGGTTATTTGAAGTAGGAAGGCACACCCTTAATATATGTAGGACCTTTTGGTGGCAGCTCAGCAAAAAGGACTTGGAGGAAGGAAACTTTGCTTTTCACCTGCTCCCCTTTCCTCTTGCTGATGAGTTAGTCATTCTATGAAGTAACTGCCACACTCCTTCACTGATATTAGAGCCAGCTTTTTTGGGTTTCCAATGTAGACTGAAGACCTGCAGTTTTCCAGGAATTCTCCAGGGCATCAATGCTTATTGGGACTGCTGAAACATCCAGCCTTGTGGACTGAGCAACTATAGGAATATAGACCGCTTTGGTGTGTGACAACCATTATGGGAACACAAACCCTATTGTGTAAGTCAATCTAATAAAATCACACACACACACACACACACACACACACACACACACACACACACTGGTAAACAGCCCTACCACATTTTAGCTTTATGAGGCAGTAGCCAAGAGTAGAAAATTCAAAATTGAACCAGGTTTGGAGGGACAGACCTGCGATGCTAGCTTTTGAAGAGTTCAATGCAAACCTGGGTTCTATAGACTAGCCCTATCTCTTAGAAAAAAACATGGTAGCTAACATCCACCCTTAATTCCAGTTCTAGGGGATCTAATGCTTATGCAAGATCCAAGCACACATGTCATGCAGTTACATACATGCAGGGAAAATATTCATACATGTAAAATCAAAATAAAATTAAAAACGTTTTATAAATGTTAAGATATCTGCCCAAATCTTAGATTGCTAACATCGTTTTTTACATATTAAAAGCAAAAAGGAGCAAGTGAGCTTGCGCGAGAGGACCCATTAACATTTAGTTACAGTAAAATTGTTGTAATATCAGTTTTTTTTTCTGAGACAGGGCTCATTGTGTAGCTCAGGCTGGCCTTGAACTCAAAATCCTCCAGCTTAATTTTTCCCAATAGTTTGAATTAAGGGAATAAAGGTGAGAACTTCCACTCTCAGCTAATCCTGATTCTGGACAGCTCCTGCCTACTGGAAACCTTAGGAAATGCATTCATTGAAAGAAATGGGTGTGGTCTTCAGAGACTATATAAGGACAGATCAGGGGCCAGGTTCATTCTTCTCCAGACCAGAGTGTGTTTCAGAAACTTCTGGCTCAGAAGATCTCGAATCCACACCTTGGGGATCTGATCCTGGAGCTAGTGAGGCTAGAGACACATTTTTTATGTGAATAGACAATGTACAGGAGGAAAATGGATCTAGAAATTCCCCAAGAAAAATGAAACAAACGCCCTTTTTAAAATTTATTAGCAAATAGGTGTGTCTAGGAAATGAGCTTTCTTATGTATCAAGAGTGACACTATTCCCATTTGGTCTTCTTGATTTACTTAATAACTTATAATTAAAGTAAGGGTCTATTTTATGTTACCATTACAATTTCTGATCCATTATAAGGTATCAGAAGAAGTTACAAGATACTTTGGTAATTTGAACTCTGTGGCAATCCTTAAATACTTTATATAATTGTGTTCTGCAGGTACAGAACTAATGCATACCTCCACTCTCAAAACTGCATATATACATATATATCTGAGAATGAGATGACAGATTAAAATATGTAACTACGCACTGTATTGAAAGGTTTGAAGGAAATACCAGAATGCAGACATTTTTTAGAATTGAATACCAAAGTTTTCAGCAAAATAAGAATAATAAAGAATGAGTTTTCTTTTGTGAATTATAAAGCAACATCTTTTTATACTTTGACTGAATACTTGATAGTTTAACATCTTTGTCTAAGTGCCTAATTTGCTATTGTGTGTTCAGTTTGGTTGGAGGGCATAATTAATGTTGAGAATAGTCATCATGTTTTTCTATTTGTATAATTAGGTTCTGGTTAAAATCTGAGGCAATTTTGCAGTGCTTAACTTCATTTTCATTATTTCTTATATGTTCAAAATCATGTTGATTTATGATTCTGGTGGAGAGAAAGAAAATATGAAATGAAAAAATACGACCATCAAAGGAGAAAAGAAAAATAGCAGCTCAGATACAGCTCAGCTCAGTTGCTCACTGGGAAGGAGCGTTATTCTCAGTTTTCAGGGTTGCCAGGACCCACCAGCTGGAACCACTTGATTCCATTTGTGTCAAACTCCTGAGGCTGTAGTTAGTTGGAGCAAAGCTGCCTCAATCCAAACAAGACTATTTTTTTTGTGTCAATATGAAAATATATAAGAAATGGGTGTCTGTTGATTAAGTGTCCAACAGACATGAGTGTTCATTTGTGTCATGTTATTTCATCCCATAAACTCAAAGTTGGAGTTTCCTCTTTGGGCAGCAGAGAAATTGGAACAGAGTGTGCCCCTGGGAAGATTGATATTGATAGTCCATTTGGTGGGATTTATTGTTACTATGGAAATCTTCAGGCACATGGGAAGGCTTTTTATACAGGTTAGGTAGACTACATTGGGAAGTCCCTTCCATGGACCAAGGGCTCAGATTGAACATGAACGAGAAAAGGAGCTGTACAGCAGGAATACAATGCTGTCCACTTCCTGATTTGGATGTAATGAGATCAGTGGTCTTAAACTTATGCCACCATTACTTCTCCAGCATGATTGGCTGTATCTTGAATTGTGAGCCAGAATAACCCTTTCTTTCTTAAGTTACTTATGTCAGAGATTTTGTGACAGAAAGAAGAAAGATAACTACTATAGGCACCAAACTCTCCCTGGAGAGTGGCTGTGCAATTTCAAAGAATAAAATATTAGAAACTAGAAATTTGTCCAAAGCATGTACTAGGGGAACATGTGGAGGGTTGAAGCATATTGTTGGATAGACAACAAAAGAAAGTAGCATTATAATTACATATGTCATGATTGGGGTTTCTATGAGAAGACTGGCTTAGGGACAGGTACAATCCATTTGGTGTTTTTGAGAAAAAATGAACTCCAGAAAAGGAGCAAGAAACCAGCTTGAGACAAACCCTCCAGGACAAATGCAGTGGCAGGGATGTAGAACACTCTCAAATCAATATATGTTTCTCAGTCAGGACAAGAGAAATATGAACAAATGGTAGCAACAAGTTTGCCCTTGGGTTTTCTTCTTGGTCATATTTTCAATGAAGCATCTTCTGTAGTAGATAGAAGTCAATTTCAACCTAAATGGAATTTCACGCAGTCTTTTGTCTCTGGTGTAGAATACTAAGCAATTCTGGCTCTCTTTCCTCAGAAGAATGGAGTCAGACATCTCACAAGCCTTCCAGGAAGAACTCACATGCTTCATTTGCCTGAACTGCCTTACAGACTCAGTCACCATAAGCTGTGGACACAGCTTCTGTGGCCCTGCCTCTGCCTCTCCTGGGAGAATATCCAACCTCCTGTCCATTGCCCTGTATGTAAGGAACCATTCCAGCAGAAGGACCTCAGAACTGACCTTCTTCAGAAGGAGCTGGTGTCCATTTCCAGACAAGCTAGCCTCAGGAAGTGCCTGAGCTCTGAGGAGAACCTGTGTGTGACCCACAAGAAGACAAAGAGGATCTTCTGTCAAGAGGACAGGATCCTGCTCTGTCAGCTCTGCTCCAACTCTGAGGAGCATGAAGGTCATACTCTGTCCCACTGAAGCAGCTGTTGAGCAGAGGGTAAGTGGTGCCTCTGAGAACAGGTGAGAACTGAAAGGTTGGGAGATTAGCAGATCACAGGGAAGAAACTTATGATGATGAGCAACCCACTGTTTTCTGAGTGGTAGGCATTTTTAAAAGAGCTAATGAAGAAACTGTAAATACAATGTGAAAATATCCCGCCTTCATAGAACTTACATCCCTTTGGAATCTGATAAGTTTAATGCTTACTTCTATTTTAATTATCTTTATTATGCTCAAGTCACTGGATAGTGAAATAGGTACCAATGGAGGATATTTGTTCACTAACACTGGAAACTAAATTATGGAAAGTACATTGGAATTAGAAGGAAAGGGTGGAAAACCATTTGGGAATCTATAATCAGAAACCATGTACCAGACCACTGGAAAATTAGCCATGCTAATTAACCACTTTCCCTGACCAAAAATTACATTGAATTTTTTCATTCAATAGTCTGAAATTTTTCTTCAATCAAAATAACAAAAGTTACTAAAAATTGATCCTCAGTCTAAAGTAATTTTACTTGATGCCTCATGATTCTGTCTCTCAGTCTGGGTCTGACACCTTGTTCCATTGTTTTTCTCTGGGGTTGATATTTATTGTTTGTTACAGGAGAAACTACTAGAGCAAATGACATGCTTATGGGAAAAGATCCAAGAAAATCAGAGGAATCTAAATGAAGAGAAGAAAATAATCTTAGCTTGGATCGTGGGTAGGACACTGTGATACTTAGAAATCTGCGTTAGACAGACATTTTGGAAACTTAATTTTTAGTGGCTTGAGGGTCATGAATCAGAAACTATGATAATAGAGAAACTTTATTATAGCCTCTAATTCTCAATATAATATTCAACTCCACAGGTAGAGAAAGTGGTTAGAATGAGTAGTAGAGAAGTTTGAAACTAATGACTGATTTGCTGACATAATTTATGACTACACCATGAATTTTAACTGTTGGCATGTAGATCTTCATATTTTTCCAAACAGATAAAGTTAAATCAAAAGCTTTACTTCAGATATTTCAAGAACTCATGAAATAGAGGAAAGTGCTTAGAGATAAGGAATAAAAAGATAATAAATGAAATAACAGAATAAATTTGTTTCTTGAAAATTGGTGCCATTAAGTTCTTTGTGCATATATACTCATAGACGGTACCAATTAAACTTAAAACTGAAGAATTTTAAGTGGAGCAAGAGAAAGTGATCTCAAATGTGATCTGGAATGTCCATGTCTCTGCAGGGTTATGTGCCTCTACAAGAAGTGTTGGTCAGGACAGAATATAGGAAACTGCATCCAGTCATCCTTGAGGAAGAGATGCAACGTGTAGAGAGTCTGAAAAACGAAGGCCAAAGTATTTTAGAGAAAATACAGAAAAGCACAGCCATAATGGTACAAAAGAGGAATCAACTAATAGAAACGTGTCAGGAACTGGCCGCAAAGTGCCAGAGTACATACATGGAGCTACTCCAGGTGAGCATGGAGAAGTGCAAAAAGGGCTCTCAGCAGAGGACCACACCGTGAATATGTGACTTGATACCAAAGACAGTTTTTTATAGTTGTCACACCTATGATCAGAATGTAACCTTTCAGAAACAATCCAAATAAAGTGAATTCTATCCTAAGCATAAAAGATCAAGCTTAAAGAATTGCATCAGGAGATTCCTCAGGTAATATTTCTTTTTGCCCCCCCCCTTTTTTTTCTTTTTTCTTTTTTCGAGGCAGGATCACCCTCTAGCCACAGCTCACCTGGAATTCACCATGTGGACCAGGCTGACCTGGAATTCATAGAGATCTGCCCACCTTTGTCCGGAGTGCTGGGATTAAAGCCATGAGCCACCATGCCTGGCTAGAGTTTGCCTCTCTTAAAGCCTCAAACTATGTTTTGATTGTTCATAAACTCAGTTTTTGCATATTCTTGGGTATTATTCAGAAATTTGGAGAAAGCTATTATTTAATTCCTTTTTGGGTTTGGAAGCCAGTTTTTGGAGAGTTGTTTGGGAGGTTTGATTTTCAAGAAAGGGTCTCATGCTGTGGCCCAGGATGAGCTCCAACGGACAGTAATCCTCTTGCCTCAGCTTCTCAAATGCTGGAATTACAGATCTGAGTCATAGTGCCTGACTGAGACCATGGTTTGGAATTATCCTTAAGAAAAGTCATGCTACCTTTATGGAGAGGACCAGGAAAGACACTTTTGCAGAGGGCTGTGGGTTCCCGCCATGCCCCAATCACTACCCACTTCCTTCTCACTCTGCCATTCTCATTGTTCTGTTTTCATCTAGAATTCAAATCCTGTCAACTTGCTAGACTGGCTATATTCTTAGAGCTAAAACTATTTACATGGTGGATTGGCATGATGTTTGATATTATGTTAACTTTATAAACAAAAAATAGTATGCCTTTTTTCAGTGATCTAAACTTTACCTATTTCTTTGCAGGATTTGAGAGAAATATCAACAAGGTGAGTTTAGTTTTCAGTGTAAATTAGGGTTCAATGAGACTTATGAAAGAGACCTTGTCTTTAGAGAACTGAATTTATAATTTAAGGATAATACTTAATTGTTGTGTGCACCTATGTTTAGATTTTTGTTGTTGGGACAGTGTCTTACTATGTATCTTTTATGACGTGGACCTCACTAAAGGACCATGCTGGCCCTGAACTTAGGGATATTGGCCTGGGTTTGGGTATGTTTTAATATATATGTATGATTTCTTTTCTTTTTTGAATTTGCTCTTGATGATGAACAAGGTTGTCTTTTTAAATTTTTACAAAGACTTTATTGAGAATTTCATACCTGCATATAAGGTGTTTTGATCTAATCCATGCCCACTCCCTCCCCTCCAAAATTCCCCCCTCTGAAGAGGTAACCATAAAATCTTTTAAGGACTAGATACAAGCTCCCAAATACTTTTGACATTTTTGGCCTTTGGAAAAGAGTACGTTGCTAACAGGCCCAAGGACATTTTGATTTTAGCCAAGAAACTCACTACATTTCTTTGGGAAACTGCCTAGACAATTCCTACCTCCTATTCTTATCACACCATCCTCTGAAGGGGTTACCCAAAGAGCCAATAGAGAATAGAGATGCCAACCACTGTGGCTTTTTCTATGCTGAACAGGGACGCAAGGTGAGGCAATTGAAATACCCCTTCAGTGGGTTTATCTAAATGACTCCCAGATTGTGTAACTCTTGTCTCTAAGGGAAGAAGAAAGTCATTGAATCATGAATGGGAGCTGTGAAGGAGAAGTAAAGGAAAGAGTAATTAGCATTACAATTTCTAGACATGGAACTAGAAAAAAGTCAGAACAGGGCAATTTTCAAATGTTCATATGAGAGTCCATTGGAGTTTCTTGACAAGAGCTCCCAAAAGCACCCCTCTATTGGGCTCTTTCTCATTTTTCTTTTGTCTTCCAAGGCTGGACTAGTTGGCTGGGAAGAGTGGCTGGATACTCAGGTAAGGGTCCAGTGACCTTGCTTGGCATGCCTTTAATGAATGAGCACAACTGTCAGCAAGCCCAATTGTGACTATGTTTAGCAATCAGGCTCAGCCGAAGTTATGATGATGGTAGTTATTTCGTGCAGAAGGGACCTGGAATTTAAAAGGATTTGGTGCTAGGAGCCACATATGAGGGAGAACATATGTCGTTCATTTTTCTGTTACTTCACTTAGTATAACAGTTTCTAGAGCCATCCATTTACCTGCAAATTTCATTATTTCAACTTTTATTTTTTACTGCTGAATAGAACTCTATTGTGTAAATATACCACATTTTTGTTAACCACTTGTCAATTGAGGGACACTTAGGTTGATATCATCTCTTAGCCGTTGTGAAAAGAGCCACAACAAACACGGCTGTACAAGTGTCTCTACAATAGGATGAGTCCTTTGGGCATATGCCAAGGAGTGGTATAACCGGGTCATATGGTAGGTTCATTTTTAGTTTTTTTATGAGTTCTCCACATCGTTTTCCATAAAGGCTGCATGAGTTTGCAATCCCACCAGCAGTGAATGAGTGCTCCCCTTTCTTCACACCCTCGCCAGCATTTGGTATCATTTATTCTCTTGATCCTAGCCAGTCTGATTGGGATAAGGAGTTACCTTAGGGTGGTTTTAATTTGCATTTCCTTAATTACTAATGATGTTGAACACTTTTTGAGGTGTTTCTTAGCCATCTTTATTTCACTTTTGAGAACTGTCTGTTCAGATCTTTAGTCCATCCTTTAATTCTTTTTGATTGTTTCTTTTGCTGTACAGAAGCTTTTTAGTTTAATGAGATCCCGCTTGTTGATTGCTGACCTTTATTCCTGAGCAACTTCTGTTTGATTTAGAAAATCCTTTCCTACACCTATATCCTGTAAGTTACTGCCAATATTTTCTTCTATAGTTTCAGGGTTTCCAGTTTCACATTGAGGTCTTTGATCCACTTGGAGTTGACTTTTATACAAGGCAAAAGATTAGGATCTAGTTTCATTCTTCTACAGGTGGAGATCCAGTTTTGGTTTGTTGAAAATGCTGTCTTTCCTCCATTGTGTTCTTTGTCAAATATCATGTGGCTGAAATTGCATGTACTCAAGTTTGGTTTCAATGATGTTGCATTGATCTATGTGTCTGTTTTTGTACCAGTACTGTGATGTTTTTATGAGTATGGCTCTGTAGTATATTTTGACATCTGGTATAGTAATCCCCCCAGCATTGCTCTTTGTGCTCAGGGTTGATTTGGCTATCTGGGGTGTTTTGTGCCTCTAAATGAATTTAATAATGCATTTTTCTAATTCTGTGAAGTATGTCATGAGGATTTTAATTGGGACTGCATTGAATCTATGTATTGCTTTTGGTAGGATGGTCATTTTAATAATATTAATTCTTCCAATCCATGAACATGGTGGGGGGGTCCTTCCATCTCCTGGTGTCTTCCTCGATCTCTTTCATTAATGATTTAAAATTTTCATTGTAGAGATCTTTGGTATCTTTTGTCAGATTTATTCCAAGAATTTCAATTTTTTTTGCAGCAATTGTGAATGGGAGCATTTCCATGTATTCTTTTTCTAATTGATTTTTATTGGTATATAGAAAGGCTACTGATTTTTATAGATTTATTTTATAACCTGCCACAATACTGAAAGTGTTGATCAGTCCTAGGAGTTTTCTGGTTGAACTTTTGGGACCTCTTAGGTATAGTATCATATCATCTGCAAAAAGTGATAGTTTGACCTCTTCTTTTCCAATTAGTACTCCTTTAATTTCCTTCTCCCGCCTTATTGCTCTAGCAAGAGTTTCAAGCACTTTGTTGAAAAGGAGTGCAGATAGTGGAAATCCTTATCTGGTTCCTGATTTTAATGGGAATGCTTCCAGTTATTCTCCATTTAGAATAATATTGGCTGTGGGTTTGTTGTATATAGCTTTAATTATGTTGAAATATGTTCCCTCCAGTACAATTCCCTCTAGGACTTTGAAAATAAATACATGCTGAATTTTGTCAAAAGCCTTTTCTGCATCTATTGAGATGCCAATGTGGCTTTTGTCTTTAAGTCCATTTATATGATTAATGACATTTATTGACTTGCGTATATTGAACCATCCCTGCGTTTCTGGGATAAAGTCTACTTGATCATGGTGAATGATATTTTTGATGTGTGTCTGTATGCAGTTTGCAAGTATTTTGTTGAGAAGTTTTTCATCTATGTTCATTAAGTATATGGGTCTATACTTTTCTTTTTTGGTTGTCTTTACCTGGTTTGAGTATTAGAGTGATGTTGGCTTCATAGAAGGATTTAGGAGTTCTCCCCATGTTTCTCTCATTTTGAATAATTTAAGTAGTATTGGTTGGAGGTCTTCTTTAAAGGTCTGGTAGAATTCTGCTGTAAATCCAACTGGGCCTGGGATTTTTTAGTTCGGAGGCTTTGTATTACTGTTTCAATTTCAAATGTTATGGGTCTGTTTAAACTGTTGATCTCTTCCTGGCTTAGCTTTGGAGGTTCCCATGATTTCAGATATCCATCCATTTCTTTTAGACTTTCAGATTTAGTAGCATGTAGGTTTTAAAAATATTCCTTTATAATGGTCTGGATCTGTTAGGTGTCTGTTGTCATGTTCCCACTTTCATCTCCAATTTTGTTGATTTGGATTTGCTCTTTCTTTCTTTTGGTTAACTGAGCTAAGGGCTTGTCTATCTTATCTAGCTTTTCAAAGAACCAGCTCTTAGATTCATTGATTCTTTGTATTGCTTTCTTTGTTTCTATTTCATTAATTTCTGCTCTGATTTTTGTTATTTCTTCTCTTCTGCTGGGTTTGGGTTTCATTTGTTCTTTCCTTTCCAGTGCCTTGAGTTGCAGTGTTAGGTCATTTATTTGGGCTCTTTCCATTTTTTTAATGTAGGCACTTGGAGCTATAAACTTCCCTCTTAGGACTGCTTTTAATGTGTCCCAAAGGTTGTGTATGTTGTATTGTCCTTTTTGTTGAATTCGAGGAATTCTTTTTATTTCTTTTTAATTTCCCCTTTGACCCACTCATTGTTTAGGGGTGTGTTGTTCAATTGCCACGAGTTCGCCACTAGGGCTTTGTCCAGTGTTGATTTTGAGCTTTATTGCTTTGTGGTCCAATAGAATGCATGGAATTATTTCAATATTTTTGTATTTGTTGAGGTTTGTTTTATGGCCCAGTATGTGGTCAATCTTTGGAAAAGTTCCATGAGGTGCTGAGTAAAAAGTGTATTCTTTGGTGTTTGGGTGGAATAATCGAAAGATGTCTGTTAGGTCCATTTGATGTATTTTATCATTTATTTCAGACATCTCTCTGTTTATTCTTTGTCCAGTTGACTGGTCTAATGGAGACAATGGGGTATTGAAGTCCCCTTCTATTACTGCGATGGAGTTAATCTGTGTCTTAAAGTCCTGTAGTGTTGTTTTTATGAATTTGGGTGCACCAGAATTTGGTGCATATATGTTAAGGATTGTAATATCTCCTTGGTTAACTGTTCCTTTGATCAGAATGAAATGACCCTCCTTATCTCTTCTGATTAGTGTTACTTTGAAGTCTATTTTTTTAGATATTAGAGTTGCAACCCCTGCTTGTTTCTTAGTGCCATTTTCTTGGAATATTCCTTTCCATCCTTTTACCTTAAGGTAGTGCTTATCCTTGATGGTGAGATGGGTTTCTTGCAGACAGCAAAGAGATGGATTTTATTTCTTAATCCATTCACTTAGCCTGTGTCTTTTGACTGGGGAGTTCAGTCCATTGATATTTAAGGTTATTATTGAAAGGTGTGTATTGGTTGCCATCATTTTGATTACTGTTTGTGTTCTCTGTGTAATTTTTTGTTTCCTAGATTATATCTTTATTTTCTTTCATTGCCCCTAGGGTATAGTTGTTTCTCTCTCTGTTCTCTGTATTCCTTCAAGTATTCTTTGGAGGGCTTGCTTTGTGGATGTGTATTCCTTCAGGCTATTTGTTTCATGGAAGATTTTTCTTCCCCCTTCAACTATAATAGACATTTTTGCTGGATATGGTATTCTGGGCTCACATCTATTGTCATGTAGAACTGGAAATACCTCGGTCTAGGTTCTTCTGGCTTTCATGGTTTGCATTGATAAGTCAGCTGTAATTCTGATGGGCTTTCCTTTGTATGTGACTTCTTATTTTTCTTTTGCTGCTTTCAGTAGTCTCTCTTTGTTCTGTACATTTAGTGTTTTTACTATGATATGTTGTGGGGAGTTTCTTTTCTGATCCTGTCTATTTGGTGTTCTATGTGCTTCCTGTATTTGTATGGGGATGTCTTTCCTTAATTTCGGGAAATTCTCTTCTATAATCCTGTTTAAGATCTGGTCAACAGCATTAACCTGAAATTCTTCTCCTTCCTCTATTCCTATGATTTGTAGATTTGGTCTTTTCATTGTGTCCCATATCTCTTGCATATTCCATTCCTGTGTTTTAAGAAATTTTCCATACTCTTTGTTTGAGTGGTCCAATTCTTCAAACTTATCCTTCAGTGTTGATATTCTGTTTTCCATTTCATTCATTCTAGCGGTGAGGCTTTCCCCTGTTGTTTTAAGTTGGCTTATTGAGTTTTGCACCTCCTTCTTCATTTCTGCTTGAGTTTTCTTCAACATTTCTATCTCTTTTGTGAATTCATTCAGAAGTTTATCCCTATCTTCTTTCAGCTCTTTGATTTGTTTGTTTGTGTGTTCTTTAAATTCATTGAATTCCTTGATCATGTTTAGGATTGTTCTTTTAAATGCAGTGTCCTGGGTTATCTCTGGGGGTTTCTCCTTGTTGAACTCTTCTACAGGATTGGTGGGGTTTGGTGGGGACATAGTGTTTTGGCTTTCCATTTTATTATTCTTTTGTTGTGGTTTTGGCATGTGAATTTTTTTGTTGTTTATGATTCTGATATGAGAATTAAGTTGAAGTATGCTTCTGTTTTTGTTATCCAGGTGCCTGGATCCTTTCTTTATTGGTTATATAAAACTGGTTGGTACAGGATTTAGGTCTCTGAAGTTTATTTTGGAGGGAACTGATGGCTTCAGATCAGCTATTCAGGGGTACCCACAGAAGTCCAATTCAGGTTCCAGTCAGGTACACTCAGGCTTCCTTCACCATGTGGAGGCAGGAGCCAGGCTCTCTCAGGCAGTCCTGTGCATTGTCAACCCACCAAGTGGAAGCAGGATCGAGGGATGTTAGGCTGTCCCCTAGGTTCTCAGGCCCTCTGGTAGTTGGAGGCCAGTGGGAGGCCAGAACCCAGCACACTCTGGCAGTCTGCTGCAGCATATATGATTTCTATTCTCCTTTTGTAGAAATTGTCTTTTCTTTCTTCTTGTGACTGAAGGAGTATGTGTTGTGGGGCTGAATGCTGAAATTTCTAGTTTTAAAAATACAAACATTGGTGCAGGTTCATTGGCCATATTTTTCCCAGGTTGGAGCTGAAAGATGCAGGTGCCACTGAGAAATAGGTTAGTAGCAGTCAAGAAGAGACATCAGAAAGACCATTTTCAAGGAAGTATCCTGTCTCTTGGCCCTGGGGTTTCACCACAGTGTCAGGAAGGCCTGTCATGAGATGTGCAATGTGCTCACCTGTTTATATTTAATGTATGTATGTATGTATGTATGTATGTATTATTATTATTATTATTATTATTATTATAACTGTGTGTGTGTTATGAAAGAGCATGAGTATAGACACACAGATTCCATAACACATTTGGAGGTCAGAAGAGAAATTTGGGGAGGGAATTTTCTCTTTCAATATTGGTTTGAGAGATTGATTTCAAATTGTCAGGATTGCTGGTCAAATCATGGTACCTACTAAACCATTTGGCCAACTCCTGAGTGATTATTTCTTTTTCTGCACATCGTGATAACAACTTTGGCCAGAGGTGGATAAATTTCTTCCTCTTTCTTACAGGAGTGAGCCAGTGCAGCTGTGCATGCCCCAGCCTGTGAAACTAGCACTCAGTGCCCAGCCCATCATGGGACTGATCCACAGAGTCAACTGTTTCCAAGGTGAGTGTTGGCATAGGGGAATGACCATGGGTGCCCTTAAATGATGGGGTGACTTTCCGACTCATTAATCTTTTTAAAAAAATATTTTATTTATTTTATGTATATGAGTGTTTTGTCTGCATATAAGAGCACCACATGTGTGCAATGTCCACAGAGACCAGTTCCCCTGGAACTGGAGTTCTGGATGGTTGTTAGCCACCTTGTGGGTGCTGGGAATCGAACCTGGGTCCTCTGGAAGAACAGCAAGTATTCTTAACCACTGAGCCATCTCTCCAGCCCCATCACTCATTAATCTTTAACTTGATAGGAACATATCCCCAGGAAACAGTCATACTGATTAACATGCTTACTATCGTAAAGGAAAGACACAATGTATGCTGATATAAAAATGTGATTGGGGCTGAAAATATATCCATTGTACAATTACACATACAGAATTGTAAATTAATTCAGGACATTCTAATTTAAATAAGAAAGATGAGTAAGGGGAGTTCATTAAATATTTTCCCTTGAACATATTTGAAAGATAATTTTTAAAGTGTATTTCATCTGATAGATTGAAAATACACAGGTGTACTTCTGCAACCTGTAATCCCAAAACTGGAGAGATAGAAGAGGACTTTTATGGGTTTAAGGGCAGTCTTGTCCATATACTGAGTTCCATGTCAGCCACAACTCTATAGCAATACCTTGTCTAAATAAACAAAATAAATGAATGTAAAAAATTAATTGCACAAAGAAATATATCATGAGCACTAAAAGTAAAATAAATTTGTAGATGAGGCACAATCTTGGTTTCTTTGGTAAATCTACATTGAGTTACAGCCTCAAAGACAAACAGTCATTAGAGGAGTCAGTAGTTGACAATAGTCAGCTGCTACTAGAGAATCACTTCTAAGATTGTACATTAAGTTTTTTTTCTTAATTATCAATATCCTTAATTATGTTGAAATAACACCAGGGGAAAGAATCACTACTGACATGTTAGGTAGAACTAATTGTGAAGAGAGCCATGAAGTCAGTCAATGATCTAGAGTTAGTTGCAATGTACAAATCTCCAGTTTGTCAGGTGTAATTAAAAGTCACCAGACAGAAGTCGGCAGAAGCTCCATATTCTTTATTTACAAAGTTTCAGAAGTTTTTTTCATCACCGTCACAGATCCTCAAATGTAAGGCATTCTTGCAAGAAGACATATCTAATCTAAGAAAAGTTGAAGCTTATTTCAAGGGAAATATTTTCTTCTCTTTGCAGTGGAAATTTTCTTTGAAAATGAAATCATGATCCATTACAAGATGAACCTATTTAATGATGTGAGAAGATTCAGCTTTCCACATCAACTTCAGGACGCACCTGTGAATTCTGATGGATGCTACTCTGTTTTCTGGGGAACCCAGAGCTTCAGTTATGGGAAGCATTATTGGGGACCGTTTGTAAGTGACTCTTGGGACTGGGCTATAGGGGTCTGTAAAGATTCTCACTTAAGTAAGTGTGGTCCCCTGATTGAATTGAAGGATGTGTTCCTTCTTGTATTTTTGAAGGAGGGTGATCATTACAGCCTCCTGACTACCTCCCCATCACTTCCTCACTATGTAGAGATACCACTGGGCCAGATTGGTGTGCTCCTTGATTGTGACTTTGGAAGTGTGAGTTTCTTGAATGTGGCCAAGAATTCCCTCATGAGGTACCCTGCTGGTTCCTTCAATTTCCCTGTCAGGCCTTTCTTCTCCATTGGCCACACATGATGGGGATAGTCTGTACCCTAGGTCATCCATAACTCAGGGAGCCTGTCTCAATTGATGTCAAGCAATAATGTAGCACTTTAATGTCTTTTAAGTATTTCCTACTTTATTGTTATCTTACTTATAATTAAATATTTAATATGAAATGCAAAGATGGTTGTCTAGGTTTCTTTACAATTGTGGTTCTTATTTTCTACCTGGAAAATTTCTTTTGGGTATCTATGTATTTTTTTATTTTAAATATTTTATTTATTATCTTATTATTTTTATTTTATGTATATAAGTGTATTGCTTGCATACATTTAAGTGCACCAATGTCATGCGATGCCTTTGGAGGTCAGAAGAGGGCATTGGCTCCCCTAGAGCTGCAGTTAGGACAGTTGTTAGCTGCCATGTGGGTCCTGGGAATCAAACGCAGGTCCTTTGCAAGAGCTGAGCCATCTCTCCAGCCTCTATGCTGGAGAATTGCTAAACTATGACTAGGAATCTAGTTCAGTAATGGATTAGTGATGGAGTCCTTTCCAAGCATGCTCAGGACCCTGGTTTGGACTCTAGCACCACAAATCCATAAAATCATGTAATTGTAAAATCCTAACAATGGTATGAAGAACAGTGTGTGCTGTTACACAGATATTTTGTCCAAAAAATCGAATCCCTATTTACCTATACAAGTCTAGTTTATCAGGAAAGAAATAAAAAACAGACAAGTATCCCAGTCACCATTTATCAAAGAAGCTTATTTTGCAACAGATAGAGAGTATTACAGAGTTCCACAACTGGTCACACACAGAGATTGTCTGTGAATTGCCCAAGTCTAAGTGGCATATCTAGGATGCAACCTTTACACCTAAGGTTCATGGAACATAGAACAAGGGATGAAAAGAGCACTAATGAACCTTTCAGTTCTCATCAATGAAGCTCCCTCATGCAACAGTGGGCCAGGAACGCAAGTCACAAATGGCCAAAATGCAGAGAATAAGAGTCTGCAGTGTGGGTCCTTGGACAGGACTCCTTTATTAAAATTACCCACCCAGGGCTCAGGGACCATTGCAGAGGAGGCGGCAGAAAGACTGTAAGAGCCAGGGAGGAGGTGCATGACCATATGGAAATAGTCCTATAGGCTCCTGGGACCCTTCTCATATGAACCTACAGCAATGGTGTCAGCATGCACAAGACCCATGCAAACTCAAGTAGACAAAAATTCACAAGGAACTGGAAATGGGCATCAGGCCCCAATCTTAGCCAAAGAACTATTGGCAGCTGACTATTGCTGGGTGAGGAAGAGCTGATCTTCCTAAAGGGCAGCACTCTAGACAAGCTGACTAGACCTCAGTAGATGAACTTGCACTGAGGGACATCTGGGGACACTAACTTGATCCCATAGATGTTAACACAAATGACAGAATGCATGAATCCCAGTGTGTGTGTGGGGGGCTATGGAAGGGTGCTGATGGGGAAGGGGATATAAAGATGATTAAGATGTTCTTTATGAAATACACAAAAATTCAATAAAAATTTACCAAAAAATTATCAGAGTGTAAGCTGCTATTACTGAGAAAGCTCTGAACATGTTTCTCTTTAATGATTCATTCAACTCAATGAAAGAACTGTCCCAAATCTTCACCTTGAAAATCTGTCAATTTCTGTGAGTCTTGAGGAGTCACGAACACTGTCATCCTCAGGATTTCTTTGCTCTCATGCAAATCTCAGCTTCATCATGTATAAACATCACCATGTAGACATTTCACCTTCTGAAATTCCAGGGACATTCACTGCAGATACCAGACCTAGGCTCAGGCACTCTCCACTTACCATCTAGATATCAGAGCTACATTTTGTACTAGAGCTCTCCTCCTCTTGAATCAGTGTAGTCTGTGATGTTGGATTTTTTGAAAAAAATTTTTTTGGTATTTTTGAGACAGGGTCTCCCTTTAGCCCCAGCTGGCCTGGAACTAGCTATGTAGACCAGGCTGGACTCGAACTCACAGAGATCTGCCTGCCTCTGCACCACCATGGCGTGCACCACAATGCCTGGCTTATTTACTTATTATTTATTTATTTTAAAAACTTTAATTATTTTATTTTATATGTATGAGTGTATTGCCTGGATGTTTGTGAGTCTACCTGTGTCCTGCAGTGCTGTGGAGGTCAGAAGAGGGCTTCGGATTCCCTTGGAACTGGAGTTAAGGACGGTTGGTAGCCTCCATGTGGGTGCTGGGAAACGAACTCAGGTCCTCTGCAAGAAGTCAGTGCTCTTAACCACTGAGCCATCTCTCCAGCCCATTTATTTACTTTTTTAAGCATATGAGTACTTTGCCTGCATGTGTGTAAGTGCACGCGAGGAGGTCAGAAGAAGGCATCATATTTCCCTGAAACTGGAGTTACGGACAGTTGTTAGCCACTATGTGGATGTTAGGAACCGATCTCATGTCCTCTTCAAGAGCAGCAAGTGTTCTTAACCACTAAGTCAGCTCTCCTGAAAGATTTTTTTTTCATTTTTATTTATTCTTTGAAAATTTCGTACATGTATATAATGTATGTTAGTCAGATCCACCTCTCCCCCACTCTCCAGTGAAACTGAAATTTTGTCTTCCTCCTAAGTTCACATCCTCCTCTTTTTATTTATTTAACCCACTAAATCCTTTTACTTCTAGCCACATGAGCATGGCATGTGGTTGTCCACAAGGACATGGAGAAACTACTACTGGCCACACTCCTAAAGAAAAATGCCAGGGCTGGAGAGGTGGCTCAGAAGCTAAGAGCACTGACTGCTCTTGCAGAGGATCCAGGTTCGATTCCCAGTACCCACATGGTGGTTAACAACTGTCCTTAACTCCAGTTTCCAGTGGAATATGGTGCCCTCTTCTGACCTCCACAGCATTGCCTGACATGGGTGCACTCATACATTCAGACAGTACATTCATATATATATATAATAAATGTAATAAATAAAAATTTTCAGAAAAGAAAAAGAAAAATGCCTTTTCCTCACCCAGGAACCATCAACTGCCTATAGCAGGAAAGAAATATGGTTCAGAAAATTTAAGAGACTGTCACATCCCTAAACAAATGTATTTCTTGCTATATGCAAAATATGGGTCTTTATGTTTATAGATAAGTATGCCAGTCACCACTAAAAGAAGCTTCTTTTGCAATAGATGGAGAATATTACAGAGTTCTACAACTGTTCACACCCAGACATTGTGAATTGCCCAAGTCTAAATGACACATCTACAATGCAACCTCTCTATACCTAAGGCTCATGGAACATAGAATAAGGGGCAAAGAAAGTATTAATGCATCTCTCAATTCCCTCAAAGAAGCTCCCTCATGCAACAGAGGTCCAGGACACAAAAGGTCACAAATGGTCAATGTATAGAAAGTAAGAGGCTGCAGAGTGGATCCTTGGACAGAAGTCCTCTATTAAAACTCTTTCTGTTAGCCAATGATGCCTAGAAAGGGCAATGTCCCCCCATTACAGGGCAACTCCTTTTAATCTCTTTTTATAATGTATATGTATGTACATTAAAAATATTTTATAGTGGTCAGTTTCTATATGACAGTTTTTTTGTGGTCTTTTTGAGGCAGGGCCTCCCTGTAGCCCTAGCTGGCCTGGAACTCATTATATAGACCAGGATGGCTTTTAACTCACAGAGATCCACCTGGCTCTGTCTTCCAAGTGCTGAGATTAAAGGCGGCACCACCACACCCAGCTATATATCATTGTTTCTAAGGGCTTTCAGTGTTACTTATCCCTCCTTATACTCCCTCCTCTCCCCTGCCCTTCGTTTTCACCACCCCATTTAATTTCTACAATAATGTTTCTTTCCCCCTTTCATATCACTGCATAAATATACAAATCACTTCACGAATCTGAGTGTCATCTTTGTGCAGGGTCATGCTAATCTTGTCTGTATAGTTCCAATTTAAGTATATGTGCTCCTGAGGCAAGTGTTGTAAGTATTTTTAATAAAGAAAACAGTATCATCAAAAAGAAAGAAGCCGGATAGGGTGCCACATGCCTTTAATCCTAGCACCAAGGAAGAAGAGGCAAGTTCCAAGTCAGCTGGTGCTACCTGGAGACCAAAACCAAACCAAAAAAAAAAAAAAAAGAAAGAAAAAGAAGGAAGGAAACAAGGAAACAGAGAGCAATGAGTGCTTGATGCTCAAATCCTGCTCTCCATTTTACAGTCCTATGAGTAGACCACTCCTTAGTCTGGGAATGGTCCCACTCACATGTAAAGTTGTTCTTTCCATGTCAATTAATGAACTCAAAATAATCCCCCACTGACATGCCCAGGGGCCCATCTCCCAGGTGATTCATTGACAACACTAATGATTTCCTCTAAGGACTCTGAAAAATTTCTTAACTTTGCAAAACATTAGAGAAATGCAAAATAAAACCACAACTAAGAACACATGGCCTCCAGAAGAAAAACCCCAATTTAGGGTCATATAAAATGTAATGACAAAGACGCAGGGTAAGTGAAGTTTGCCTAAGCCTGCATGCAGTTTCAACTGAAACGACCTCTGACAAACCTACAGAGATTTTTAAGGCTTACACATTCCACTGGTAAACATTTATGACCAGCAATGTGAGCACTTATTTAATAAAATGTATACACAATGGTGGTCACTTCATAATTACTCAGTAGCCCAAACCTTGAGCCACTGACACACCTCATCAGCAAGTGGATAAATAAATTGCTCTAAATCCAGGCCATGCAATTGTATGCAGCAAAGATAATGGACATTCCTTCAGCTACTGCAACAACGGGATTAAATCTGACTAGTGTATTAAAACAAATAAATCACAGTTAGCCTGCTGTGTATTTTTAAGGGACCATAGACTGAATATTTGCTGAGAGTAACTTTAATTACTTTTACCCCAAAAGAAAATCACAAAACTATTGTATCATAGCATTTTTGCCCATATACTGTAGGCTTCATGAGATAGAATTAAAACTTAAATGTTAATTGCTGTTTGAGTGATAAAAATGATG